TGATGAGGCCCACTGGGCCTGAAATATACAACTTATTATTATTATTATTATAGTATATATAGGTAGATTGCCTTTCTGTTCCCTATTTTTACAAATGTGTCATGGTTCCATAAAATTATATCTAAGTTTGTTGGCGAGGCCGATTGCCATGAGCCATGAGGTGGTACATAGTTTTTGTGAGCAGACAGTGTGAAAACTCCCTGGGATTTTTAAGGAGAAAAACTGTCAATCTTGCGGATGGGGGGAGGATCTGATGGGGTATGGGGTTTATGAGAACATCGTCCGGTCTTGGGGGAGGATCCAATAGGCGGGAGATTGCAGAGATCACCGGGATCATCACCTAGTGCGGAAGATGCAACCTGATACTTCCTTGCTGATTGCAGAGTTCACCGACAGGTTGGAATAACAGAAATATCTGCCCAGATCGTCCCCTGCGGGTCGAAACAAGGGTGAGCGTTTATGCTGCCAGGTTCGGCTAATGCGATCACTAATGAAGTCATCACGGTATGCAGATAGCCAAATAGGCATGACCGCAGGTACCTTCGCTGAAATTAATCATAGGAGAACCTAGTGGTGTGAAAAAAAGCATATACAAATTTTACTTAAATAGAGCTAGTATCATTATAATTGAAAATGGTCGGCAGAGGTCAGTTTATATTTAGCGCGCACTGCTATTTCGATCCAACTTTTGCTAAAAAACTGCAAGGGTTTCCGACCTAACGACATCCAGATTAAGACTATTTCAAACTTAGACCACCCTTTCGGAGAAGCAGTGCTTCCGAGCGTCGAGCCTCGCCCCAGTCACATGTAATTTGATAGGATGCCCTCTCAAGTTCGTTGTTATTGTTAAATGGAGGAAATCTCCTGATACAAGAAAAAAGTCCTGAACACGTAATATGCGGAATGTTGGTATAAGGTCCCCTCGAAGCTACCTGTAGCGCAATGGAAAGAGGTTGAGATTCGACAGTCGTGTTTCATAAGACTGCGAGCACAGCCCCATAACAAGTTTGGTTGCGCGCCTTTGAAATTTTCGAGTATATTCATGTCTTTTGCGGCCCAGGGTCTCCAAGCTTGGATAGCGGATTATAGTTGCGGTCGTAAGAAGGTTCCAAAGACTTCTGGGAATAATTCGTCACTGAAGACAGAAAAAGCCCGCTTGACGAGGTATAGGACCGACATCGAAGACTTGGCTACCTTTGATCAATGCAGGGAGGGTTTAAGCAAGGGCGTGATCCAGACTCCCAAGTCCTTCTGGGCGTTAATTTTTTTCAGAGGTATGCCCTTTAGTCGGTAACCCGTGTCGTTTGAAGAAACGGTTTGCCGGCACTTGCTCTCATTGAACGGCAAAACATCAGTTTGCAGTAGTCCAGTTGAACACCGGCGAACAAGGACATCGAGAAAGGGCGGTCGCTTATTCATTTCAGCCTCCATCCTGAATTTTAATTTTGGCCAACCGAGTTCATGAACTCTTTGAGGTGCTCGATGTGAGATATTTTGACAATAACGAAAGTGTCATCGACATAACTAGCCCAAAATGCTGTTTGATACCTCGCGAGGATCAAGGTTTCTATCTGTTGGAGTACTTATTCAGCAATCAGGCCTGATAAGGGGAGCTCATGGGAGTGCCTTTAATTTGTTCATGCATTTATCCGCCAATGTGAAGTAGGTTTTGAGGCAATGTCGTAGAAGTTCGGGCAAGTGTCCGGTTTTCAGGGGTTTGTCGCTCTCGTCATAGCGTTCGATTACAAATTGTTTCACAACACCAATCGTTAATCGCTGAAAGATGGAGGTGAAGAGTGAGACAATATCGAAGGATACCATGGATTCATCTGGCTCTTACTTGAAATGTTTTATTCGTTCAAAGAACTGTTTGACAGAAGCTACGGTTGTTCTCGAGCCTGCTGCCAGGAACTTGAGGTGACAGAACATTCATTTTGCCAAACCGTACGTAGGGGTGCCTCGAAGGGAGACGATGGCACCAAGCGGCAAGTTTTCTTTGTGTAGTTTCGGCAGGCCGTAGAATCGTGCTGGGGCTATGTCCATTAGTTTCATGGAAAACCAATCAGTGGGCGTGATTTCACCGTTTGTTTTGACTTTTGCCAGACTTTTGTCCATTTGGGTGAGTAAATGTTTCATTTCACTGGCTGGACATGTTCTGTCCGAAATTTGGTCGTCAAGTAGGCTCTGGGCTTTCATTTTGTAATCAGAGTTGTTGAGCACCACTGTGCAACACCCTTTGTCAGCCGGCAAAATGATTTTGCCTTCATCGACTTTAAGACGTTTAAATGCCATCTGTTTAGCTCGGCCAAGAGTTTCACGCCGAAGATGTGCTTTACAAATAAACCTTATTATTATTTTGTGTTGCAAAAGCAGCGATGATGTTTAGTGGCAGATTGTCTCTTTTGTATCGTCCAAGGTCTTTGTTGACTGAAGGGCTGAATCAAGGGCGGCGATAAACTTTGCGGGTGAAGCGTCTGTTGTGTTTTCAGTCAGTCAGTATATTTGAGGAAAAAATAGGCTTGCGCCTTTGAACTCC